AACGTACGAGTTATAAGTAAATAAATATGCCGTATTTCTAACGAATGTAGTAAATAAATATAAATACCCCGTGCTTGTAACGTACGAGTTGTGAGTAAATAAATTCGCCGTGCTTGTAACGTATCTAGTAAATAAATATAAATGCGCCGTGCTTGTAACGTACGAGTTATAAGTAAATAAATACACCATACTTGTAACGTATCTAGTAAATAAATATAAATATTCCGTGCTTGTAACGTATCTAGTAAATAAATATAAATGCGCCGTGCTTGTAACGTACGAGTTATAAGTAAATAAATACGCCGTGCTTGTAATGTGTCTAGTATATAAATATAAATGCGCCGTGCTTGTAACGAGCGAGTTATAAGTAAATAAATACGCCGTCCTTGAAACGTATCTAGTAAATAAATATAAATGCGCCGTGTTTGTAACGTACGAGTTGTGAGTAAATAAATACGTCGTCCTTGTAACGTATCTAGTAAATAAATAGAAATGCGCCGTGCTTGTAACGAGCGAGTTATAAGTAAATAAATACACCATACTTCTAACGTATCTAGTAAATAAATATAAATATTCCGTGCTTGTAACGTATCTAGTAAATAAATATAAATGCGCCGTGCTTGTAACGTACGAGTTATAAGTAAATACACACACTTGTTGGTGATTGGCGTGTAAATAAAAAAAATACGCCGAGCTTGTAACGTATTAGTTGTAAGTAAATAATCATGCCATCCATGCTTGTAACGAATCTAGTATAAAAATAAATATTACTACGCCATGCTTGTAACGTACGAGTTATATGTGAATAAATATGCTGTACTTGTAACGTACCTAGTAAATAAATAAATAAGAATACGTCGTGCTTGTAACGTACGAGTTATAAGTAAATAAATATGCCGTATTTCTAACGAATGTAGTAAATAAATATAAATACCCCGTGCTTGTAACGTACGAGTTATGAGTAAATAAATTCGCCGTGCTTGTAACGTATCTAGTAAATAAATATAAATGCGCCGTGCTTGTAACGTACGAGTTATAAGTAAATAAATACACCATACTTGTAACGTATCTAGTAAATAAACATAAATATTCCGTGCTTGTAACGTATCTAGTAAATAAATATAAATGCGCCGTGCTTGTAACGTACGAGTTATAAGTAAATACACACACTTGTTGGTGATCGGCGTGTAAATAAAAAAAATACGCCGAGCTTGTAACGTATTAGTTGTAAGTAAATAATCATGCCATCCATGCTTGTAACGAATCTAGTATAAAAATAAATATTAATACGCCATGCTTGTAACGTACGAGTTATATGTAAATAAAAATGCTGTACTTGTAACGTATCTATTAAATTAATATGAATACGTCGTGCTTGTAACATACGAGTTATAAGTAAATAAATATGCCGTGTTTCTAACGAATGTAGTAAATAAATATAAATACCCCGTGCTTGTAACGTACGAGCTATAAGTAAATAAATACGCCGTGCTTGTAACGTATCTAGTAAATAAAGATAAATACACCGTGCTTGTAACGTACAAGTTACAAGTAAATAAATACGCCGTGCTTGTAACGTATCTAGTAAATAAATATAAATGCGCCGTGCTTGTAACGTACGAGTTGT